AAGCTTCAGTCAAATCTCCTTTTACTGTGAGATTACAAATAAATTAAAATAAAGAATGAAATAGTCATTGTCACTCTTCATATTTTCAAACATCATTGATGCAATTTACATTAATTTACTAAAAACTTTACTGTAAACAGACCTGTAGCTGCTGCAGATCATCCTCCTGTACGTTCTGGGACAGATTGTAGATCTATATAGACAGAAAGGAAATCAGTATAGATTGAAATGAGGATAATTAGAAATGATTACATCAGTGCAAAGAATAAATCAGTCACCTGTATGGAGCTGGTCATGGTGCTGAGGGCAAAGATGGTGGCGCAGTCCTTCACAGTGGACTGATTATCAAAGGCTCCCTGAGTGTCCATCAACACCACTGCCACCTAGAGGTGAACAGAGACACATACAGCACATCACATAAACACTGGGTGTGGCTAACAGGGATACTCTATTTCTTTAGAAAACATAACTTACTGTTAATTTGAATAGATTCTTTAAATCAACAAAAAAAAAAAAAAACAGGACTTTCCCTTCCACTTTCTACCTTAATGTGGGATGTTCCTGTTAGTTACAGAGTATATTTCTGCCTGTGTGGAGGTTTTATTATTATATTTTGAAAGTCTTTTGGCTACAACATATGGCTGTTATCATGAAATAAATTATATTTAATATAATCTTATATCATTTTAAATTACATCATGCACTAATTCTCTGCTTTGTGTATAACAGTCAGACATAAGAGGATGAAATGAGAATATGGGGTTAATATTGAAGGGAAAAGGCAGCTCAAATCCAAAGTGAAGACCTTTCTAGAAATGATTTGATATAATCATCAAACACAACGTTATTAATAATGTCTTGATTTGACAGCTGTACAGTTGAAAGTTGCAAACAACATATAGACCAAGATATTCTGCATAGATTAAATAAACTGTGGTACCTCTGTCCCGTCGCTCTTTCGGACAGGGAAGACTTCGCTCCACAGCTGGATGCCTGTCGTCTCAGGTTCTGAACCGCCTCTCCAGGAAAACCCCGTCAGTGGCTCATCATCCAGACCAAGCCAGTTCTCATCGCCCTGCAGAAACACATTTTACCTTTTCAATCAGGGGCAGGCTGGGGCTTTGCTGAGAAACTCTGTATATTTAAACCCTCTGGCCTATTTCAAATGAGAAACATGCCTTGTCTATCTTTCAATAATGTAGCACTACAGCAGCAGACATGTACACTGAATCAACAGAAATTCCAGGTGTTGTGCATCATTTACAAAACAGAAAAGTAGTAATTGGACTGTTGAACTCAGTCAGGGCATAATCACAGGTTTTTATTACTGCTAGAGAAGGACGGCTACAGAAGTGTTTCAATGGACACCATGTTTGATTTGAATGTTACCAAATTCAATGAGATCTCTCAATGAGTACATTAAATGTAATACCATGACTAGGTTAGCTTGAAATATGTACCTGAAAACAAGATGACTCACTTTGACTCCACATGGTCTAATAAGCAACGATCAGATTTCAGGAAACTAGTTAGGTCACATGTTAGACAAGGGATGGGCATGAAGGTCTCAGTGTATTATAGTGACTTCCAAACTACCACACCTCAAGGCAACATCACCTGCTGTGACCGCCCTGCCTTTAGAGCTCTCAAGAAAAACATGACAAAATCTCAGCATGAACTAAATGCCTTTAAACTAAGGGTTGTTATCCTCTCTTCACCCCACTGATATGGGGAGTGAACTTCATTCTGTACGCCTGTCTAACACAGCTCTGTGGATAACTTCATTATGGTTCTCTTTCAATGACATTTGTTACCACGGTGTGTACAGAGCCTCACCTGAAAACAGAACCTAAGTAGAGGAAAAACATTAGAAACATCATTGTACATTCACACACCTAGCACCTCTATGGTTATGTACAAGAACAGAAAGGGGCGCTTGTGATTGAAAGACAAAAACCTTTAAAGCCTTTAAAGGACAGCTGAAGAGAGAACAAGAAACAATTGGAGGAGACAGTGGGGTAGACGTGCATCAAAGGGCCCAGGCCAGGAATTGATCCAAGTTTCCTCTGCTTTCACCCAGCTAAAAGTCAGAAAACTTCTTAAGGATTACAATCTTGGGCTGCCAACGGCTGAGTTAGTTTTTGGTGCATGTAGAGAGGCTGTAGTCCTTGAAGCAGCCGGCCCCCGGGTTCGGATCTGACCTGTGGCTCATGTCATTAACGACTCTCTACACTGTCCTGTCTCTCCAATAAAGACACAAAAAATAAATCTTAAAATTGAAGTGTCAAAATTGTCCTTTGGTCAAAAGTCTTCTTTGGTTTTAAGCCTGGAGTGTAGAACAGCTAACAAATCCCGAAGAAGAAGAAAATACCCCATAGAGGAATATTGTTGAAACAAGTTTGAGAAACACTGTTATGGCAATGGGGACAAATCTCCTGTCAAAGTGAGCCAGTTTCCAGGAAGAGGATCTTCATCTAAGGGAATCAGAGTGACCTTTGGGTGATCAGGTGTCTGGAGTCATGTGCTTGGTATTTAAGAGCTTTGCTGTTTAAGGTCCAAGATGTTGGGAGTGGGGAAGACAATGAATTTGGACAGCTCTTATTTTTTTCATTCTATATATTTTAGCACTAATTTCCAATCTTGTGTCTTAGAACTTGTGTTTTTCACAAGTGTCTGCTCCACAGTTATTGTGAAAATGAGACAGTATGATTTTTCCTTATACAATGTGTAACACAGAAGTTACATTAAAGTTGTTCAACTCACCTTCCTGTACATGTAACGGAGCATGAAGTCAAGCAGGAAGCTCTTGCCCTTTCTGAAGGCTCCAGCCACTGACAGAACCACCACATGTTTGTCTCGGACCTCAGGAGCCAACAAAACCCGAGCTAAAGCCTCCTGGTCCAAAGTAAAGGAGTGCTCCTCCTTACACACCGTGACAATCTGAACTGGGCCTGGTTTACTCATCATGCGGACGAGGTTCTGTTCCCTGTAACAAAAACACCAGGTTATTATCCAACTGTAACATTATTATTTCAACTTTTTCTTTTCTATTTTTGAATTGTGTAGTAGTCTAAAAGATGTCCCAAATACTGAAAATGTATAAGCCGGTTATTTCCAGCCCACACCTGTACAAAAAAAAATATCGTATTCATAGTGACATAAATCTGCATCAAGTGTGAGGAGCTTGGAATTGTAAATATTTAACATTTCTTCTTCATAAATTATTTAAAAACAACTTTTTTTTTTCTCAAAATCTAAAACTAATTTTAGTCAGCAGAGTACAGAGGATGATAGCGTTCAATATTGATATGATCTTTCTTTTTACACTTTAACAAATCCATAGAGGTTTCTGACATTAGTTTTATTGTAAAATAAATTATTATTAAAATGGAGATAATGATTAATGTAAGAAAAGTAGATGAAAAAAAGTCAAAATATAAATATATAAAAATAAATGATAATGTGTAGGTGATACTGTAGGTCTAAAGGATAAATTACTGAAATGTCAGTTTACAAATGCAACTAATTTTCAAATCAACCATGCCTAAGATGGATGATAAACACACTCACTGTTCTTTACTCTGAAAATATTATGTTGTCTGTGTCTACTGGAAATTCAGACATGCAATCATCCTTCCAACACAATATTTTCTCTGTGCTTAGCAGAAGACAAGATGCTTTATGGGTGTCATGCTGCTTTGCCTCCAGCTAGTGGATTTAGCATGCTCTCTCCAACAGTTTCCTGTTCAGCTTTTTGAAGGCACTTCGTTGTTGCAACTCTGAGGAGGATCTCCTCTCCCATGATGAGTAAGACAGGGGTGGTGCTTTCATAACAGCTTTTCTATAGTAATAATATCAAAAGCATGTTGTCCCTCCTCTCCCTAAAATCTCCTCACCTCAAAAGGTGTGGCACTTAGCAGCAGCATGTCTGGCATTGCTATGCAGTGAGTGTGCTGAAACCTGTGGATGTCAACGCAACGTGTCTTGCACGTAAAAACGAGCAGATACTGCAAGACATCATCTAAATTATAAACCAGCATCTCTATAATCAACGTTGTTGTTTTTTTTAAGTATCTGGCACTTATCACCAACGAGGTTAGCTAGACTGACACTGCTTCAGCGAGCAAAATAAAAGATGTCCAACTATAATAGAGATGATTAAAGAAGCTCAATAAACAAAACAACTGGTTTGCTATCTTACTATTAGATAATAACCTGCATGTATTTGGTAGTTAAATAAAAACATTGAAAAGCTAACGCCTAAACGCTGTTAAAGGAAACCAGTGTTATGAAACTAACTAATCTATAATCCTGCTCCACGCTGTGGCTGCTGGTTCACATTGTAAAGTTAGTATTACCTTTAAGGCGACTTGAGCGGCTTCAAAGCAATCCCCCCTGCGAGTCGACTAAGAAACGTCACTTTTTACTCTGGCATGAAAACAACTTATGATAACTTTTTTTTTTTTCCACCACGAAAAACTCACGCACTTCCGTTTTTCAAGCCTCGCCACGTCTCATGGAAAATGTAGTTTTTCTGCAAGTCTTCCTGGGTTGACTTTAGCGGGTCTGTGACTACGTTACCCAATGTGCCTCGCGTTTATCAAGTAAAGGTACGAACACGGAACTGAAGTTAAGTCAAATAAATCTTTTTTTTTTTTTGATTTGCGTCTAGTCAAAACCTCTTCGAGTGACTGCCGCAGATTAAATTTACACTGTTGCCTAGTAACACGTTTTTGTTTACGAACATACCATTTGTTGTTCTCGCAGATTTAGTCCAGTTGGCTGCGGTCTGCCCTCTACTGGTTTAATTTGAAGGAACAACAAGAAACCTGATGAATAAAACTCCCCAACATGCACAACAATGTGAGGTAAAAATCAATGAAATCAAAGCTGGCAAGTTACAAACCTTAATACACAACATCGGCACAAGATATTTTATTCGTTAGATTACAAATTCAGTAGTTTTGAAAAATACATAACATTTACAAATACAAATCCAGTTAATCCTCAAATGAAAGATCTTTAAATGGCAGTTCATATCCAATCAAAGTATTTTTGATTGACTTTAGTGTAGCTTAGTTTACAAGTACCATAGGTTTTCAAATTCACAGAAAGTGTAAAGACATTCAGGGAATCAACAGGACATCTTAAACATTAAATCAACCTAATCTGAAGAGTGGTTAAAGAGCAATTCTTTAGATAAAGAGTTAATTGGAAGTACTGACATGATGATAACTGAGAAGTGCTTTCTCACTTTTTCATACACCCTACAATTACAACTACTTTATAAATTAAGCATTTTTTTAAACATGGTATTCTACAAAACCACGTCTAGAAAGGAAATATTTTCCAGAATAGGCTACATTGACAGCGTTGCCGGGGAAGGGATCAATTTGAAGCGATGATCAGCACTAACAATGGGTTGATAAGACATATTCATATTGAAAGTATATATGTATATACAGTATATATTCACTTTATGAATTTGAGTAAATGTCTCAGAAGAGCTGTTATGTTCTTGTAAATATTGAAATGATTAAAACATGTTTATTAATTTGGTCAACTTTACTTCTCCTTGAATTGGAAGCAGAACTTCATTCCCTGAGAGTGAAACTAAGCTTTTAAAAAATCACAGTGAAAATCCTTAAAATATGTTGAAGTTCATTTCTATTAATACTTGAGATTCTCAGAGCACAATTTTTTTCCCCATATTTTTCAGTTTAATGTTACACTCTCAATTTCTTATTCATCGTCTGCATTGAAAGTGCTAGAATACATAAGAATTACTGTGATCCACAGTCTTGTGAGTCCATCACAAAACTAATCTTTTCTCCTAACTACAAAAAGGTTTTAGGGCAGTGTCAGCGTCTAAGGAAAAACAGGCGGTGTGAAAAAACAATCATCACTACATCCATTAACATTGTTGGTTTGATGGAGTGTTTGCTTACAATAAATTGTAGTGTTGAATCAATTGTGATTGTTAATGAGATATTAACTTTAATATCCTCCTCCTGCCAGGTCCAGCAGTGACCCAGCAGCTTCCTGCGCCTCGGCATCCAGCTGCAATATCTCTACGGTCTCCAGGTCTAACTCAGTATCACCTGGCAGCACCAAGTATTGGTACTGTTGAGACTGGTAATAATGTAACTCAATGTACCCGCTGTCTGACAGGGGGTCCTTCTCCATGTCTTCGCAGACCTCCTCCTGTTGGTAGTCCACTGACTCCATGGTGACAAGCTCCTCGTGATCAGGTGTCAAAGGGCACGTTGGGTTTTCAGTGAAAGGCAGGTTATCCATGGTCAGGGTTTGAGGTGAGGGCGAGGAGAGGAGGAGGGTGTGAGAAAGAGCATCTGAATTAGAGGAAAACAACAAAATGGAAAATGAGGGATCAAAAGAGCCATTAATATTAATAACATGTTCATACAGCCTGGCATAACAACCACTTGTCATATACTTCAGTGACCCTGTATAGCATCTAGGCTCTCAAATAAAACAAGGGAACAAAAAGAGGACTAAGCTAGAATATAGCTGTGTTGCCAAGGAAAAAGAAGGTGTTGCCATGACAACAGAACACAAACGCAGGAACTATGTTTCATGCTGTGAAAGCTGCAGGGTGGGAGAAAAACAGCAGGTAATAAAAATGTCAAAGAGAGCTGTTACCCCATTGATAAAACACTGTTGTCTAAAATACATTAGGGTCAAACATGTTGGTTCATGTGTTATATAAAGGAGAAGAAGCTTCTGATATTGTCAACATCATAATCATCACTAACCTGAAATCTCAAGAGAATCACAAACTGCAGGCATCTCAAAGTCAGCTCCTTCCAACCTGCACACAGTATTTTTGCAGAATGCATTGATTTGAACACAACTCAGCAAGAAAGTGTGGTTAAAATGCCAAGTTACTCAGGCAAATGATTTATTTTAACACTTTGTGTAGAAAGCAATGCAGAAGAAATGTTTGTATTAAAACCAGGACTCCACACAAAATAACCCCGAAAAAGTTTACTTAAGTCTGCAACTAATGTTTATTTTACAGTTTAACAGGCTCAGTATTAGTTTGTCTTTAGTAACGGAAAATAGTAAAATAAGTCAATTGTAATTGACAAGACACTTATGGAAATCAGAGTTGCATGTTTTTGTACCAATAGTCTCAAATCAGAGATGTTCAGTTTAAATTCATCAAAAACAATGAAAGAAAGTTTTAACATATGGCAAAATGTTTGGTTGCCATTTTTGTTGTTCAAGTTAAAGCTCCTGTGAAGAGCGTTTTGCTTGTTATTTAGCTGAGTAAATAATGTCCCTTAATAAGCTACAAAAGCAAAAGAGACCACAATCTACAAGATTTTTGTTTTTTATTGATGTATTAATGCCTGCAAAACGCTGCTGTAGGGTTGGTGTCAGACAAAGTGATTAACTGCTCCTTGCCAAAACAGCCTTTATGTACACTTTCCTTGGTAACGATTCTTGGTTAGTTATACATTTGAAAAAAAGAAAGCGGATTATGTTTTTGTCCAAAAACAATCCTTAGGCCCTTTTTGTTTTTTCGTTGTTGTTTTTTCGGGCAGAAAAGCACTGGATGTGCACTCTGGAGCGTTTGGATAAACAGTTGTGTGCTGTGAGTGCTGTCTCTCATATATATATATATATATAGAGAGAGAGAGAGAGAGAGAGAGAGATAACTTTTTGGCTTTAGGAAAGCCAATTTTATTTCTCACTTTATAAAATGAATTACTAAAAATAAATGTGAAAATAATAGTTAGTGGCACATATTAAATTGTGTGGTTATACTCACAGTGTAGGCTTGTTTATCAGATTGCTGTTGGTGCTGTGATAACTGTGGGTCTTCCTCAGCACCTCAAGGAGCGCCGGTTGATATTCTGGACACACACACCACAGAGATCCCTTACCCACGCACTGAAACACAAACACACTAAATTTTAAACATTCAGATTAAAAATGTGTGAACCTTAAGCCACACTGACACATTCAAGCGTACTATAGCCATTACACACGTGGAGCACATTACAGTAATATCCTTGTAAGGTGTTTTAATTTATGATGAACAGCACATCTTGAATCAGCGAGTGCTCAGGGATATTTCAGCAGAATGGATGCTCAGGTATGATTGCTTGAACTTCTGCCCAGTGGTATTAATCTCTCTACATGACCCTGGTGCTCTTTGGTAAACGTGAGTCGTTAACTCACCTGGCTCTTGTCTCTCTGAATGCGGCGGAAGCTCTTGCTCAGGGACAGGTTGTGTCTGACAGAGTTCCTCCATCCTCCGGAGGCGGTCCTGTAGAATGGGAAATTGTTGACAATCCATTCATAGATGTCTTTCACTGGCAGCCTCTTGTCAGGCGAATCCTCTATTGCCATGAAAATCAGACTACTGAAGGAGTATGGGGGTTTGGACGAGGCTGGAGGTAGAGGTTGGGTGGGTTGCGAGGCCTCTAGCTGAGGCAGTGCTGTCATTTTGGGGATGGGCTGCAGTGGCAGTAGGTTGCCCCTCTGATGCAGCCAGTTGAGACAGGTCAGGTCATCTTGGTCTGATATGTTTGACGGGCTCAGGCACTGAATGGTTTGTCCGGTGAGACACTGAGACGCTGTGCAGTGTGAGAGAGGGGAAGGGGAGTGACTAGACTCTGCTGTTGATGGAGATAGTGAGGAAGGGGACGGGGGGAATGAAATGGGGGAGAGTGGAAGTGAAACACGGCCATTTGTCTGCTGCGGCGAGGAAGAGAAAGGCAGGGACACTTCAAAAGTGTTCGGACACGGTGATGGTGGAGGCAGTGTGTGAGAGCTATTCTCCATCTCTCCCAGAAGAAAACCTTTAGGTCCCTGCCGAGAGATATGACAGAAATCAGGTTTAAAAAATATAAACACTCACGACTGAAGTCAAGTCCATTTTATATGTACCCTATGGGGCTTCACATAAACCCCAATTCTGTTGTCGCAATGTTACCATTCGCAATAAATACATTGCCAAATTTATATCACTGTATATATGGAAAATGATTCTATGTCAACACTTTCTCACTAGTAAGTGTACAAGTTCATCCATTGGACATATACCAGAGTAGAATGGCCATGCTTTCAAACCATTTTGATGCAGTCAAATGAAGCTAAAACTAGCCATCAGCTACCCTCAGTTCATTTTAGATCTCAATTTTTGTGGTGATATAGAGAGCTTTTTGGATTTATTTTGGAATCGGGAGGGACATGCTGCAAACACAGGTATTCTGAGCAGGAATATAGAAACTGTGAGTTATAGCTCATATGCACTAAGTTTTAGTTTATTGCTTTCATATTATAATTGCAATATTGAACAATGTTATCTCACAACTCATAATTTTGTCATACATGCATGCAGTCCTAAAAGCCAACATGAAATAGGTCAACACAATAAACCATGTAGCTACATAACAGCAGGTGGAGACTAAAAAATATATAGGCATATTTATTTATTATATTTTTAAACATTTGAAAGAGACAAGAAAATACTTAAGGTTTAAGCTTCACTCTAGAAATGCAGATGGAAAATGTATGAGAGAAGAAAATCCTCAAAGCTTGATTGAGTTAAATGTTAGCTGTCTGTTCCCCTCTGATGAACATCAGCAAAACGTTCAGAGGTCACTCTGTTAAAAGGCTTCAGGTTTAATAAACAAAGAGTGAACAGGTACAGGTCTCTCAGCTGCTCGTATAGTCAGACATAGTTAAGGTGTGCGTGCATCGATTAAATGCTTTAAACAATCCATCCATATAATTATTGTATGTAAAATCGGATATAAAAGCGCTGCGAAGTTTAAACGCCTTACCTGTGTGAAGCCACATGGCTCTACAGTTCAGTCAAAGAGGCAAATGGCGGAACAATATAAAGTTTCATTTAGTTGGGAAAGCCGCCTTTTCCCCTCACAGGTAACAAACAGTGGTCTAAACTAGTGCTTCAAATGCATAATAGTAACCACTTACTCACCAAATTACCAAAAAATAATCCTGGCAGGACTCTGCGCCCTTTAAATGTCCATAACAAGTTGTCCCAAAGGACTGGATGAAATTCTGGCTTTTAAAACTATTTCGGAGTCGGACACCTCTACCTCCGTATTCTGTTGCCGTCTGTGGTTTCTATGGATACCAAAAGGACGCTTTGCAGGGCACGCGCTCTTAAGCACGCCCTCTCACATCAAGCCAGCAACATGGAGCAGTGAGCCACGGTTTTCCTGGCAGGTTATGTGAAATACTTGCCAAGTATTTGGGAAACTTCAGAAAAAAAAAAGAAGTAAAATAGTGGGTCCAAACTTCCATCTGTATCCGATATCTATTTTAATACTTGCATCGTGCAAGCAGCGTGATCTCAGTTTAGAAAAACTGTTGAAACAAACACCCTGCATATGCAATATAGGCTACTTATTTCAAAACAGTAAAATGGGTATCACAAAAATGTACTTCACATCTGGGGTTTGTTCTTACTATCATTCACTGATGGTATATGGAGTAAAATTGTACATTTTACAAGGTCAGCAGTTGTGTGCACATTTTCCTCTATATAGTTGTAAATGTCAGTGCTATCAGTGCTGACAGTGCTGTCAGTGTAACTTTTTGCACAAATGTTCTGAATTTAAAACATTGCACCCTTTACTGAAGTGAAGGTGTATAGTATAAAATAGATTAAATGTCAATGAGATTACGTAAACCTCTGAACAAAAAATGTCAACTGTTCATTGAAATCACCTACAGCTTTGCGTACTGATGATCAAAATGTAATTTAAAAAAATTCCATCTTAAATGTAGCATTCATCATAAATTGTCCCTAAGTAGGTGTAATTTCCTAGTTCTTTAAAATTGTACATAAACACAGTTATTGAGGTCCATAAATTTAAATTACTTTCAACCTTTGAGAACAACTGTACAACTTGGATCAGTTGTCTCAGTCAGTCTCTGACTGTACTCTGGCATTCAGCTTTGGTACCATCTTCAGAAATTAAGTTATTGCACTTACAAACCGTAGGTACAAACAGGCTCTTTGCATGACCAAAAGGTAAAAGAATGAGAAAACTGACTGCACAAAGCTAAATATATTTATTTTTTCTACAAAAAAAATCCAAACATGTTCATGCTTTGTCAAATGTAGATAAATAAAATCCTGGACTCACAAGAGAAAAGGGTATAATGCAACATTACCAAACCAGAAAAGTGGCACTTGAATCACTGGTGTAATGTAAATTGTTGTCTTTGGAAATACTGGAAAGCATGTCCATGGACATTATATAAAAACGAATCTTGAACTGAATCAGAGTCTTGATTTGAAAAACTTTCATGATGACAGCCCTTGTTTCTCAAGTAAGGGGCCAAAAATAAGCATTTGTCTGTGTTACTGTACACTCATGGTGGAAAACAAGTCTTCCAAAGAGACATTTTCTGTGTCACACTTCTTGGCTCAAACAGTAGTTTAAAACAGACTATGTGTTTGAGTTTACTGACAAAAGACCATATAAAGACAGGTGTACAATCACTCAAAAAACAAATTGTGTAGGTCCAACACACTTGACTTGGACTTCAGGTTGTTAAATTCTTCTCGGTCACCTGACCAAGTGAGAGGTTAACCAGTATATGATGATTGGCTGAAAGATTGCAGTAGCCACAGTGATATAAAGGCGAAATTGAGGTTTGGCACTTGATCCAGTCCCCATGGAGTCCGAGGAGAGAGAGGTAAGGATCTTCATTTTCAGAGATCGCACCTGCAAACACAGCATCATGCAGTTACAAAGCCAATGTTATTTAAGGAAAAGTTCAAAATGTTGCCCAAGACCAGTACATTTATAATATGCTTTAACAACAACACTTGAAGGCATGCTTTCTTTTTCTAACCATTCAAGAGGATAAGCTGATCTTACTATTTTCACATTCAATGTGCATCAAGACAGAGGTATTGATCTACTGTGACTCTTTACATGTTTAAGAGTGTATTGGTTCTCATTAACAATTCCGTTTGCAAATAGCCTTGTTCGAAGAACAGATGTATTCAGTTAAATTAGAATATCAGGTTGGGTGATATTTGATCAAGACCAGTGTGATGCCCTCTCCTCCATCCTCTTTCCTTATGAAGCTGTGAGCGTTCATGCCCAATCGTGAACGTGCATGAATAGGCGCTGTGTAAATGTGATTGTAAGTTACTCTGAAGCAAAGGCAGACATCACATAGACAATACAGGCAATAGTCTAGGATGCATTTTGTGGTAGGTGCTGGCATAAGCCTAGAAGATTTTGAACTTAGCCCAAAATTTAATGAGAAATGTAAACCAGCTGTCAGATTGTAAACTTTCCCACCTCTGTCCCTCAGTTCTGCTCCATTGAATATTTCTGTTTCTCTCTGAGAATTGCTTAACCATTTACTAAGCACTCCAAGTTACAGGGGGAGAAGGAAAAGAGGAGAGGTGTTGCAAGATTATCCTTGAGGAAAAACAAAAATAAACCTCTGTCTGGTCTTACTGTTCCTAATCAGTAGTATGGTGTAAGAAGTTAGAACCTGAAGTAACTTGGCTGAAAATGTAAACTCATAAGATTAGGCAGGCCTATGTTTCTCTTCATCTTGATCATAGGTGCTATGTTTTACAAGCACCACCATTGTGTGATCAAACAGTATGTTTTTACATGATCTGTTTAGACAGCCATACAGACAGCTGCAGATGTTTAGACAGCCATACAGACAGCTGCAGATGATGAAGAGAGAAAGAGAGAAACAGCAGCAGTTGATGGTGAAAGACAGAGGGAGGGAGAGAGGGATCAGCAGATGATGAGAGGAAATAGTTCAGACGTTACAGATTAAACTCGAACTGAATATTTGTGTGATTAGAAAACCCTTTGTAAAAGGACTGTAAACTAATGGCAACACAAATTAATCTAACTTTCTTTCCTCCTGTAATCACTACATTTAAATAATAGCTGGTGTGCATTAAATGTGAGGTACACACATCAAACTTTCATTAATTCAAACATGTTTTTGAATGTAAATAAAGTGGTTACAGTGGATAAAATAGTACGAAATTGGAGTTTAACAGTCTAAAAATTCCTCATAATGTGAGCCCCGTAATGTGTTTACATTCTGTCAAATTGTAGTAAGCTATATTTATATGGAAATATCAGATCAATACATCAGGTCTCTGTTAAGATTAACATCTAAGTGAAATGGTTTGCAATTATAGAAGAAATAAGCTTTGTGGCAGAAAAAGATGAAACCAGAACGCTGTAAAACTGGATTTTTTTTTTTTACTAATGTGACTCTCTGTACTTCTAACCTTTAGATATTATCTATTAAGATAAGAAGAAGACATCAAAATAATATTTTTATGATAGCAGTTGTAAAGTTATTATAGGTGCACATTTGTATTGTAAAAAGGGCCCAAATAAAAATTAGCATCAAAAAAGAGCTTTTTATTAAAAAATGAAATAATAATTCCTTGCGTAGACTCACTACTGAGGTCTGGTCTACCCCCTACAAAACAAGCCAGATGATGTGCTCATACCTCAGCACATCGTGGAAGGCTGGATCTGTATCAAGTCATATAATCAGTTTTATTTCTGTGTTGGGTTATGGCATACAATACATAAATAATTTTACTACTGTGAATTATCCTCAGTCATGATTTTTTTATTTACCTAATTGTTTGATTTAAAAAATAATCCCTTAAGGGAATTTAGGCCCCTGCCCCTAAGAAATTCTGTGCACATCAGCCATTGTGTTTTTTGTTTTTGTTTTTCAGTGTTCTATTTCTAAACACCCTGGGAACAGTTCAAATAGAAAAATCATGCATATTTAAATATGTTAATATTTGACCTACTTATGCAACATAATTAGTTAAAATAACATTGGCAATCAGCATTTTTTTCTGAACTAAAAATATGACACACTAAAGAAACACAATACTGCTCTGGTTCAGAAATGCATAGCCTTGAACATAGAATTATGAATGAATGGTCTGATTTTGAATCCAATTTTCTGATTAAACCACATTGGTCACATTGAATGTGTTTGAATCATTTCACTTAGTTCAGATATATACATGGTGGATGGAGTCAAAAAGAACCAAAAGTACTTACAATGAAGACCACAAGTGCACAAGAGGACCAGGCAAGGGCCACATAGTAACCATCACTGCCAAACAGTAAGCCACTCAACACTGTGAAGATCATCCTAAAAGAGAGGCATACAAATATCAGTATATTAACAAACAGACATCAAGTAATAAGCTTTTCATTGAACTTCTGGTATAATTTTACGTCAGTCAAAAAGGTGTGAAGGCTGTTTTGTTATTTGAGCCTCTAACCAAAGGTAATTTTCTCTCACTATGTGATAGACACACTTTTTTTAAAATCTTGAGTCTTAAGAAAAAAAATTATTGACAACATTTCAAATCAAACCAACAAGAATTAATAACATACTTTAAATGGATAATGTGACATTGAAAAATGCCTTAAACACAAAGTAACCTTTAAATCCAATCTATTTATCTACAGCTTTGATTTAGCAGTTTTCAGTTTATTAAGTAATACACAGAAAGTTGGAGCTTTGGTCTAGAATTAACCACCACAATGACTTTCTCTGTCAGAAAAAAAAAAACATAATTTTGAGTATAACATTATATTTACCCAACATATTTGTAACCGCTGTAGGCAATAAGGTCAAAGGTGGTGAGGTCGCTGTGTACCGTCAGGAGGTACAAACTCAACAACATCACCAACACCTCGATGATCATCCACACGAGGGCAGTGCTGGCACACAGTCCAAGAACCTCTGGACTGAACCTTTACACACAGACAATACATACCCTTTATTTTTATGTTTTTATAAAAGCTAGTTGTGAGATATTAGGGCACTTGTATATTGTGAGTCATGATGAGGGAAAATGACTCACCTCTTTTGAATGCCAAGAGCTATTCCAGCGAGTAAAATGTAGGTGATGAAAGCCATCGCTGAAAGAAAAAAAGTTAACTTGAAGCATTACAAAGGCATCCCTTAATTCTCTGAAAACTTTGTAGTAATAGAACACTTACTTGGTATGTAAAGATCAGGTGCATTTACATCCTGTCTAGGAGGCAATGGAGTGTCCCGGTGATACCGAACTTCCCAATCCTACCAACAACAGACAGAGACAGTATGAACGATCCTGCTCAGTTTAACAGCAACATGCAAAATATTCTTGATGCCTGACAGCTCTACAAGATGAAAAATGAAATATTCCAAACAACATCGGGCATGTCAAGTACAGCAAGACTGGTGCTTCTTCAGCGTGGTTGGCTTTCTCTAAAATGTCACTCGGTTGAAGATGAGTGGCCCATAGATGTGTTCTTGATCAAAGGATGTTATTTCACATTAATGTGGTGTTTACAACAATGGGAGGGGGACTGTACCTGACAGGGAACAGTTCAGATATAGTCAAGTCTGAAAATGATTGTCCACATCTTGCAGAGTTGACTTCATACTACTCAGAAACATGGCTGACACCAGTAACTGCTGAGTTGAGGGTGAGAAACTCTTTTTTAAATTCACAGATTATATCAGTGTTTTGCTTAGATGTAATTGGTAATGTGGTATTAATACACTCTAGCAAATGAGATTCTTAATCTCAATGTGGTTCTCCTGGTTAAATAAATCAAATAAATAAATAATAGAAGTAGATTAGTTGGAAAACTACAAGTCAGGTATAGCAATATTTTAGCGGTTTAAAATAATGAACAGATTTTTACGTTTTTTACCCATCATAGCTGGAAAAACAACTTCCCAACTTTGGAAACATGATCATCCAAGGAGCATATGAAGGCATCATTATATCTCTAATAAACAAACATTTGTTGGTCGAATATGTTTGATGATTGCACTCTATGCAGATCACACATTATAAATACTAAACACTATGTTACATAGGTACATAGCATGTAGGCTTATTCTGTAATTTGCACTCTGCACAGTTCATACATTATCAGTGCACAGAATGTTTGGAGGAGTGACATGATTTCTAAGCTCAGTGTGTTACAGTGTGTGGGAATAAACTGAGCTCAATGTGTTTTGTTTACACTCTGGCAGTTACAGCATTATTATGTTCATGAATAATCTGGAGTAGTGATAAAGTGGCTAATTATCTTGTTTGTGTTGTAATAACTTGATAAATGGCTGAAAAATGGATACCACAGAAAGTTATCAAGCAGTCATTTGTTGTTCCGTACACTAAGGCAGAAAACAAAGTCAGACGAGGTGAATGGCTGATTACCTGATGCGTATAAGGGAACATGAGGATCATTAGTTTCTTCATTACATATCTGGTGTCGACAGCGAAGAAGTATTTCAGCTTGTTCACAGCCATAAATCTGCTGAGCTGAAAGGCAGAGCAAGAACAAACATGAACTTAGCCAGCTTGGTGTGATAGCCTTCCAAAGTGAATAAATAATGTTGAGTCATAGACATTTTTAAAGAAGGCTATGCCCTCAGCATTGTGAATCGCTTTAGCTTGACATCAAGTATGCTGAACCACCCGTGTATCAAAGTTGTCCATCCAGTAGAGCAACATCAGTTTTATGTGTGTGGCAACTAGGGGTTCTTTTTTCATCCCTGGATAAGAACATTCACTGTTTATTATATTATGTTGGAAGGCGGACAAGAAAATGGTATTCTTAACTGAAATCTGTCCACTAAGTCTTAACTTTATTTAAAGGTTACTGGGTTATCCCCTCATCTCTCCATTAAAAACATCATTATTCTCTGTCATGTCCCTTTTTTCTTACCTCTTTGTTGACCATATCCTTTCCTTGGTTGGCTAATGAGGAGCCGTACATCATTGCAGCGTTGGCCATTGGGTCCGTAAAGAGATTGTCCGCCCCAGTACCTCCTTGCATGTCATTTGGAGGCACTCCCACATTGTACCCTGGAGTGTAATATCCTTGAGTGTTCATTGCTGGTGCTGCAGAGCTGGTGTCTTCAAACAGGACAGAATCTGCTGTTGGGGGAGCTGCACGAGCTCTCTGTTTAGCTTTAAAAAAGATAGACATGATGGAAAACACAGAAGGAATTATTATTTATTTCTAAAACTATTTAGAAAATGACACATTCAGTAAGTCATTATTCTCAATAACCAACATAAACATACACAGAAATCTACACTGATTGGTTAATACACTGGTTCCCAAACTTTTTCTGCCGGTCCTACCTTTGGCAAATAAAACTATTTTCAAGCCCCCTGACTCCTCACCACACATAGACACATACTGTAAACATAAATCAACATACACTGAACCCATTGTCAGTCACACTCTTGGCTCACAAATTCCTATATTTCTAGAATTCATCTCAAACATTGGCTGCAAAAGGTACAAAATAGCATATCAGTGTTAGATAACAAACTGGAAAAAAATAAGCCACTTTTAAGAGAAAGAAATCAAAAGTGGTAACATGACTGTAACATGAAACTTAAAAATTGTGACATCTGGTGTACATTAATTTTCAGCCTATCATTTGGTGAATGGAAAGTACAAAACAAAATCACAAAACCAAAAACACTTTAATCTTGTAAACAAATTTACAAGATGTGAAACACATTTACAAAGCTGAGACACGTGGCACAACACTTTCACCAGTCCCCAAACAAATTCACAAACTTCTGCCACTTGTAAGTGTTTCACGTCTTGTACATTTGTTTTGTGCTTGCTTAAGTGTAGTGGGTTTTGTCATCTTTGTTTTATAAAACGTAAAAATCTTTTTCAAAATGTAAATTTGTTTCAAGCTTTGGAAAGAGTTTCACACTCTGTAATTTTTGTTTTGCACTTCACAAACACCCTACCTTTGAAAACCTCTCACAAAATGTGCTGTGCTCTGCAGTGAAAAACTGTGTGCTGCATTAAAAATCATCGCTGGACATGTTCGTCCCATCACTCAAGACAGTACAACCAGATCAAGTATTTCCTATGCAAGAGATAAGACTTGTTGCTGACCCTAGATAACTTGAAGAGCTTCTTAATTCTTGCCTATCTTTTAGTTTTGTAGAACTTGTATTGCTTTTCACCACAGTCACTCAAAAAAATGTGATTTTGTTTGTTTAACTACCTCAAACTGATGCTCCTTTGCAATAAACCCCCCACAGGTTGCAGTTTTATACTGAGTGGTGCTATTAAATGGCATTTAGTTATGCTTATGACTATTACTTAGTGCAGACAATGCAATGCAGGTTAGATGTGTTCAATTAAACAATTAAATTCAAGACCCTATTTTATTTACCTCAAAAACCTTTTACTGTCTCCATGTATGTGACATCACTGTCTGCTTTCTTTACCAAGGAAACAGGAAGAAGCTACTTTGGCTGGATTTCTTTAGCAAAACATTTTTCACAACTATTTCAACTGAAAGTGATTCGTTTCATGTCTCCACTTACTTGCTCGGTACCCGTGATGTGGCAGGTCCATCGTGACTTTCACTGACGCTATCTTAGAATACAAACAATGACATGTTACTAAGAAGATATTTATTTAACAGTACAGACTCATGATGCTCGCTTATTAGCACGACGAGCTAAGTTAACAACAGCTTATTATTTCTATTTTTAACAAACACTCGCCTGAGCTACGCATGTGGCACACGTATATTTATCATAGGTATTATGTGCACACACGGCATACAGAATATAATGTTACGCGTATTAAGTACATAAGAAGTAATAGGAGCACTTACCTACACAGCTAGCGATGTTAGCTCGCTACGTGGCTTTCAGGCTGATCCCGCTACGTCACGGCGGTGGGTTGACTTCAGCGTGCCTGCGTGGCAGAAAACATGTAGGCGAAATACACACCACCAAGCAATACAGTGGTGGCACTGACAGCCACAGCCAAAGTTTAAGGCTTGATTTTGTGTTGTGTGAAGCCATCAACCTTCCTATTTCCTTGCTGTCGTTTACTGTTTGTGGGGATAGCAGGTTAGGGTGCTTGGGTTTAACATGCAGACTTTATCAAAGCATCAACATTCATGCTCCTTCATTTTATCAGGTAGGATAAATTCAATGTGCCTATTTGTTGTAGGCCTACTTACATGTAGGCTGGACACTTCAAGAAATAAGAGGTTGGTGCATTAAAAAGTCCAGGGTTAAATTAAAAGTCACTTTTTTTCCACTAAAAACTCAGACTAGAATATTATTTATATTCTAAAATTCACCTGAAGTCGAAATTTGGGGTGCTTCCCCCCCCCCTCCAATTTAACCACTGCATCTAAGTGTACTTAGCCTAGTTTCTGTTCCATTTACCCACAGTAAGATTGGAATTCCTACTTTGCAGATTTATATTTTTCTTTAAAAAAAACTAAAACTTAAGAAAAAAAAAATGCAGCTACTTTTCACCTTTGGTACATTTGGATGTTAAGACCTAAATATTCTAAGTTCATTAACCCCCTCCTTTACAGACCGTTTTTAATGTTCTTTAACGATTGTAAATTAACAATCAAAAATAATATGTCCACAGTTTTACAATAAAAATGTTGTAAGAAGATAATAGTAATATTCAAAAGTATTCATGCTTGAATTTAATCATAATTTGTTCATATGACTGTTATACAGTATAGGCCTATGTCAACATTACTTCACAAATCATGATTTACATAATCACAGCTGTCTTGTGCAGACATGTTCAAAGCTGCATTGCACAATCATAGGAATAGGTGTGCCTTTGGTTCTTTAAAGACAATTACAACACACCATATTCAATCAATTAAACAGTATTTGGCATGAGGATGCCCTTCTGCTCTGTGAAGCATGTGAGTGTGTGGGTGGGTAAGTGGGTGTTTGTGTGGGTGGGTTTTGTGAATACATGTGGAGACTCTTAAGGGTGAGTAAATCATTATGGAATCTAAACTCCCTCCACCTCACTCAGAAAGAGTGACATTTTGGAGGGAAAATGAAGAGTAAAACAGAAAACAACAGCTTACTCAAGCTTGCACATGATTGTACTTAAAGTCAGAAACACATCAAAAAAAGCAGCCGGTGGGTGAATAAGAGTGTAATCAGGGGGAAAGGCTGTCAAACATGTCACAATTAGAGACATAGAAAGCGTGTCATCATTGCATTCCTAAAGCTTTAGTCATCTGACACTCACCTTCACCCTACAAGCCCCTCGTATAATACCACCAAACACTGTAAAAAAAACATCCTGCATAGATTCCTTATTATTACAGGGAGCAATATTGATGACATCTGAGACTAAACAGACAAATGAGCTGATGAGTAACATATTTAGGCTTTGTTAAATGTTATGCTCTTGGCGGGTTTTGTTCACTGTCTCTGCTCTCATTCATAACTTATGAAGAAACTGAAACCTGTAGTTCAATGTCTCAATTTCAATAGAGGTGAGACAAGAGGGTTATTAATCTGTGTTATTTTTTCTCTGTAGACAATGGACTAGAAACTGTCCCTCCAATGAACTTTAGTGACTGTTTTTCAAAAATATAAATAACAATCCTTATTCCTAGGAGAAGAATTAGCATTAATGTGAGACATTGGTGTAACAGTCAGCAGCTCTGAGAAATCAGCCCTTGCCGGGAACTCTGTCCTCAGGGACTGCAAGGTCAGCAGCTGTTCTGTCAAAGTAAGCCCTCCAAATCTACTGCATGCACTTTTTTCAATCTGTACTAGGTGCTATAACGTGATAGCAAGTAAAAAACAGTCATTGAAACGGATGGTGAAATAATCAAGCAGCATTGTGGCAATTGTCTGACTCATCTCCACAGGCATGCATGCACATTGATGTGGTTTGTGAAGTGAGAGTGACTGCCAAAAACCTCAGCACATTTAGGCACAAGCACCCAGCTTTGCGCCCACTATAAAGCATTTTTGGCTATCTGCTTTTTCTTCACAGACCTGCAGCTATAGTGTGTAAGTTTTTTTTTTCCATAACATTTCAAAGGTGATAACTTGTGCTACCGTAAGACATTCTAGTCAGTGACTTCTGTTTCAAAAATACAATGCTTTCATCATTTCACTTCATTTCATTATAAACTTCTGAATTGTATCTGAAAATTACAACTGGAACTTGACATCATAATAAAATTATGAAAAACAAATTACGTAAAATTACGTAATTCAAAAAATATATGAATTACAGTTAAATCAATGAAAGATGAATTTCTTTATTATATTCCCATTTGATTTAATATTAGTAATCAGTTCTAAATGACAGATTTTATTGAGACGCCTGTAGCAAAACTAACGTCACTAAATAAAAACATATAGATAACCCTTAAGAAATGTTTGGAAAAAAAAAGATTTTACTTGGAGCAAAAAAAGACAACTAATTAAACTTTTTCTGATTTTATATTTTCGTGTAAGTTCATTTTAATTACATTTTTAAAACCCAAAGTCTCTTTATCTTATGACACATTTAAATAACAATGCCTTTTTTAAACTTTGCCAAATTTTTACCTCACAATTTTTTTTACCTTAGCTTCAGTCAAATATAGTGTGAGTTATTGGAGTGTAAAACTGTAGTTGTAATATTCAAATGTAATATTAGTCATAGAGCAACAGAAACTTGGACCAGTCTTAGGGATCCCACTTTACACTCTGGAGGAAACTCTCACCAAATATGGTCAATGACGTCACAGCACGTGGTAGATTCGTGAGAGATTCCAGACAGCACTATTTCCCGTAACTACCGAGGGGCGTGGTGCACCTATAGAGCCGCTTTAAGAGTTTACACCCTCACAATCACTCCCAGACTTTGGCTTGTAGATTAATGACTCAGGACGAGAGGATATACTGAAAGTTGTTTTCGGAAATTTGAAGGCAATTTGGGAAAAAAAGCTAGGAGACATTTCCTTCCTCGTTCCCCCTTGAAGACGGACGTGTTTGGACTCTACCGATTTACCGCAAGAAGGTGGGCTTGCCCCAAGTTTGAATTGACACGCGAGATTCAAGCCGAAAGAAAGTTCGCGAGACCCGAAGACTTTATAGCCACAGCTGGGTTACATTTTCTAAACTATTGAAACAGAAAGGATGTACCGAAACTTTGGGAATCAAGGACGAGGCAACCCGGCGTACACAGGCAACGTCTCCGGGTCGAACTCCACATCCCTGGGTAGCACGAGCACCACACAACAGGAGCAGGTAGGTGTGCTTCCATGGACACTAGGTTACAGGTTGTCCCAGGCAGAAAGGGGTCAAACAGTGTTAACTATATTGTAAAGAACAATTTTAAAATGTCTAGCTGTAAGTAAGTTTTAAAGTTGTATATGTAGCAAATTATATGGAGGCTATAATTTAATTAGTTATATATAGTATAGTTATTTAAATTATTCTACTGTATGTATCAGAAATAAAATCGTATAGGCTTATTGTCAATTTGCATTACATTTCAATACATCAGTAATAGTGCAGATAATAGAATAATGTGACAATAAAAAATATTTTATTCATCTTCATAATTACTGATGTTTTATTTTACTTTTTATTTAGACCCCATGCAACATGTGATAGCCTATTACTTTTCAATACATTTCTTTCCTATTTATCTTGTCTGTAAAACACTGTGATCTGTGCATAATCATTTTTAAATTTCCTCTATAAATACAAAGACTTTCTTTGACTATATTTCTTCATGTTGTTTTTCCTAGAAGTTTACAATGGCTGGCAGCAGTCAGTTTGTACCCAGCCTCAATGCCATCACAACCAACCAGGATCTCCAGTGGCTGGTTCAGCCCTCTCTTATGCACTCACCTGGTCCTTCAAGATCTCCAGCACCGCCTTACCCAACCCTCTCAGGGGCTCGCCCGCTTGGGCCACCACCCTCACACTCACATTTCCTCAGACCGGGGGTCATAAGATCTGCTGCAAACATCGCTGGTTCAACAAGGCGCAGAAATGACGACCATGTAAGAAAAAAGTCCCGAAATAACTACAACTTTCTGAAGATACAGTGCCAAGAATGGTATTTTGAAAATACACACATAGCTGTGGATTTGTTGCATTTATGCTGTTTGAAAGGTGCAATTGAGGGAAAAGGGACCTCTATTGGGATTCATATTTTCCAAGGGGTTGCAATCATCTTTTGTAACTACTGTGTAATATCCTGTAATATCCTCTGACACAACAGTGTAATTTCCTTTAGACTGACACATCAAATGCAGCCATTAAGAAATAAGATTAAGGATAAGATTTCACAAAGATGTTATCTCGTACATAATTTAAGTATGTTTTCCATTCATAGTTAATTTAAATAATGTTAATTACTTAGAAATAAGCCCACACTGTTTATGTTCTTTGATGGAGTTTACTTTGAGTCAATGTTGACTCTGTTAAATGCTCACCTATGACACACTGTTTGCAAAGATCTGCTTTTTGTCAACAGAGCAATGTTACATGTACCAGCAAGATAAGAGATGTTGAGTGACCCAATTCAACTTTAACTTTAGCCTTAAAACCCTTGGTGATCAGCACCGCAGACTGATTTCTCTGCTTTCATCAGTCACACGTTGGCACACTTTCCCGTCACAGTTTTGTTCTTGGGAGTTGTGATGTTACAGGAAGTAGACTATCATGTGACTCACAGGGGCAAGTCATTTTGCTCTGACTCACGACTGAGTCATCGCTTGGGGTCTGAGCGTGAGTCATCATCTTGAAAAGGGCGGGAAATATTGGATCAACTGTAATTATTCATAATTATTCATGTTTGGAGAAGTCAGAGTCAGGGAGTTACAAAAGCTCAGGCGTTTCAAAATCATTCAGCCACCACAGCTGTGATGACTCAGGGTCGACACACGGTGGTAGTATTTTTCCTGTTTTCCCTGTACTTTTGATTTGAAAAAAAAATCACAAAGAAAGCCTAAAGAAAGAACTTTTCAAAATCCAACTTTGGACTTAAGGTGGTTTCTGAAATGTCATTTAGTTACATTTAAAAAAATTTAGACACTTTATTAATACCTGAGGGAAATTCTGGTTTTACACTCTGTTATTGAGAGACATGCTTCTCACAGATATACAGACATGCACAAACAGGACATGTTGATATGCATTAGTGGAGAGATGTCAGCGTGAGGCTGCGACACACAGCTAGGTGCAGGAAGTGCACCAGAGCTGTTGGGTGTTTCAGTGCCTTGCTTAAGGGCACATGGGCAGTACTCGGGAAGTGACCTGGTACCTCTCCAGCTACCAGACCAACTTCCATATTTTGGTGTCTCTGTTGTGTCAGGTTGACCAATTTCTCTGTATTTGAATCTTTTTTCTTCATTTTTTTCCCACCAAAGTTGTCCCGTGAAGAGATGGAGAGACGTAGAGTAAGGAGGGAGCGGAATAAACTGGCTGCAGCAAAATGTCGAAATCGCCGTCGGGAGCTTACAGACACACTGCAAAATGTGAGTGAGCATTTCTCAAAATGTCGTATCATTAATGCTTGAAGTACAAGTAATTGGTTTCAATCAGGCATGACAAGGTTTTTAGATGTATGTGTGTTTCTCTGTTTTCCCCTCTTACAGGAGACTGACCAGCTGGAGGATGAAAAGTCCCGTTTAAAGAAGGAAATCGCTGATCTACAAAAGGAAAAAGACAAGCTCGAGCTGGTGTTGGAGGCTCACCGTCCCATTTGTAAAATCGAGGACTCTGATTCAGATTCTGACCCTCATCCATCTATTTCCTCTTTTGGAGGCATCAAGATGGAGCCCGAGGACTCCAGTAGACCTGGACCCTCAACTAAAATGTCAACAAAGATGGAGAAGCCCAAACCGAAGATAACCATACCCAGCAGGCCGTTAGCATCGTCTTCCTCTCATGCTGTCACTGAATCTGAGTCGCTCCACACCCCAGTCCTCACATCCACTCCTTCTCTCACCCCCTTCACCGCCAGCATGGTTTTCACTTATCCCTCCGCCCCCCTGGACACCAACGCCTCCATCTCCTCCCACGGTGCATCCCATCAGGGAAATGTCCCTCAGTCTCGCGCTCCAGAGCCCTGTGGGATTGCTCACCGCCGCAGCAGCAGTAGCGGGGACCAATCAGATCACTCCCTGCATTCCCCGACCATCCTCACCCTGTGATTGACGACACCATTCACACTGAAATTACACTAATGTTCATTTTGATGTATTCAAAGTGTGTAGGAAAAAGAATCTCTGGGAAATATGTCGGAAAAGAAAATGATGATAGGCATTTCAAAATGAGCTGTGTGCATCTACTTCATTTCATCTTTTCAGAAAGTTAATTGTGTATGCAGATGAGATGCAAACTATAGTGGCATTATCAAGATAAGAATATAACACTCTTTGCTGTGTCATAAACTCTTTATATTTCTAATTTCAAAAGCTATGTGTTTGAATAATTATGTTCAAGGTTTACTTTAAGCATTGCATGCAGAGAATATAACCTATAATGAACTATAAAAGCTAACTTTATTATATCTAACTTTATTAATATATGGAAAATAATAATTTAGTATAATGTTGCAATAAACAACATGTTACATAGTTACGTCATGGTAAGAAACACTTTATAAACGTTCGCACTAAAGGGAAACTTAGAATTAAATGGTCTTTATTTTTTTATGGAATTTTAAAGAATCATAAAAATGTCTATGAAAACTATTGACCACTAAGGCTGGACCATAGGAGTTAATGACATGATCATGTATTTATTTTTGAGAATTTAATATATTTTTGGTAATGTTTTCAGACAAGTGAACTTGTTGTAGCAGCAGTGCCTTACTTTACCATTTCACAGAGCTGTACTACTTTACAGAAAATAAAGAAAATGGTTCATTGCTGTGTTCAAAATGTGGTTGTGTCGTATTATTATGATTAGTAAAAATCAATGGCGTATTTGATGAAACTGACATGCATCTTCATAAAAAAACACATTTTATTTAGAAAGAGTCATTTAAAGTGTCCAAATAATGTTTTAAACAGACCAGAATACACTGGAACATGACTTATGTATGACTTAAATAAGTATTCAATGAACTGATAGTTGACTGATTGAAGAAAAACTGAAATTCAAATTTAATTCTACAAAAATTAGTATTGGTATTATAATTGTCTGGTTTTAGCTGTTCAAATGTGAGGCTTTGTTATCTTTCTGTTGTAAACTGACTATTTTTGGTGCAACAAGTCACTCAATTTGAAGTGTTATATCTTCGAAGCTGAATCTTTTACGATTTAAAGAACAATAACACCCAGAAAATCATTAATGGCGATATTCAAAGTATCCGCCCTTTAACAGACACTAATTTAAAAGATCTGGGCTGTATTCACAAACATTTTGGAGAATCCTCTCAGAGAGCTCCTAACTTAAATTCAAAATTCCTAGCAAGGATTTTTAGCTGTGATTTACATGTAGGAACACTCTGAGGGAAACTCTAAGCATGGAAGATAAAGAAACATTTATCTTACTGAGGAGGCGTTTAGAAAAAAAAAAAAAAAGTCAATCATAGAATCTAGTCAGACATTGTGTAATTATAAACACTATGAAATTAACATCTCTGTTTGATTCGTTATAAGACGTACTTTTAAAGTATAACGCCTACAAAATGTTTGAAATCACATGCCCACTTGTGCAGCAGCTTCTTCCCATGCTGTGAGTTAGAGCAGCATGTAAAGAGGCTTAATTAGTGATTGGATGCACATGTGGAGGTGACCGCATGTAGAGAAACTCAAAATGCATGTCTCACTTTGCACTGAAAACATTCGTAGATGTCTGATGTCTGCACAAATAATTTTAATAATAATTTTGGAGAACATTTCTCCTCAGCTTGAGAAACTCTTAAACCTGTTAAAAGTCCTCCTCACTACTCCTAACAGTTTTACACCTTAGGAGCTCTCTTAAGGGCCAAGATGCTTTGTGAATAACTTTCATCTTTAAAAGGATCTAGTCTTAACTTTAAGGGAAAAGTCTTAGAAAAAATATTTTCTTTTGTCAATAGGAGCAACTCTTAGTATTTCAGAGGCTTTGTGAATACAGGCCCTGGTGTTTGCTTGATAAACTGACAATCTTGAATGTGTTATCTGTCATTCACTAATAATGTAAGGGAACCTCTTGCTATGGCTCAGAAAGCATTACACTGCTCGGCTAAAACGGGGCAAGAGAGAGGGAATATAGATGGAACGAGAGTCAGATTGACATCTGGTACGCATAAAGGAGTAGAAAATTGTGAGGCTCACTAAGTGGCTAAAAGCATTACCACCCTCTTCAGCTCTTCAGACTGTGCAAAAGGGGTCCAAAAATAAAACTGATGAACATCCATAAAGTCAGTCTGTATGAAGGGACAGACACGAGAGGACGATCAGTCAAGTAAAGTCGATTCAGACATGAAGGTCAAAAGAAAAAGTGCAGAAATCAATTCAGAATTGTGTGTGTCATGAATGCTTGTTTCTGCAAAGCAAAACATGGAAAATAAAGCTCTGAAACAGCACATAGTATCATCATACCCACTGTATTTAAAGCTCTTCAATGCACTACGAGCATAGTCCACCAATAAACAGCTAAGACAAAATAAATCTTTACTAATGCATGTGGATCATCTATGATTTAAACTGAAATTGTTAGTAATGCTAGTTAATACAGATAAATCAAGAAAAAGTAGGGTTGAAGTCAAGATTATCCCAATAATGTTACAAGGTAAATACAAAGCATGAGTTACAGAAGACAAAGCTGACCATCGCCAGCTTGAAACAAACTGTCATGTGCTAATTTAACAACAAAGTCATAAAAAACACAATACTAGTGAATTTAAACAGCTCCGTTTGAATAGAATAGAAATCATTCAAACTCGTAGACCTTCCAGTTTAATAAAAAGAGTTTCCAGTTGGATTTTAAAAAAAAGTCACAGCACAGTTCAGCTCTGAGTGAGGTCCGAGGACATCTTTTATTCCCGTCTGATCCAAAACCTTCACGAGTGTGCTGGCTCTGCCCCGGCTGTAGCACATGTGCATTATGCACCAGCAGCCCCTCCCACAGTGAACCTGAAGGGCCTCACATCAGACTGCTAAACACGCCTGTACAAAGAGTGACAATCATCATGCACATATGGCAACTCCAATCCTGTCCTGAGGAAGAGAGTGCATTAAATATTACACCTTCTTGGGCATCTAGCAAATGCAAAATATCAAATAGTCTCCTTTTTTCTTTCTTTTTTTCTCAACTTTTTTAGTGCTGTAAGATTTTGAGTGGATTAAATATGGCTCAAAACTGGATTGAAATGGATCTTTAGATCTGCAATTTTAAAGATCCATGATTACGCTGTCCAGTGCAATAGAAAAAAGGCGTCTGCCAGTGTAGGCTAGTCCAGTGCATGAGATAAATTTATATATGTGACCCACTTTTTTGGCCCTATTTTTTTTAACATCAGACTAATGAAAAAGGATAATTCCCAAAAAACAGAAGTCTATAGAAAAAACACTGTAAAATGTTGATACATTATAATCTTGCAAACATCTATGAAATGTCTTTGTAAAGTCCTGAAAATGTCAGTAGTGGTAGAATCTTTGTCAAGGGAAAACCTGGTGGCACACACATCTTTGCAGCATTCAGAAGGCCCTTATGCTTTTGCACCATTTATTATAGTCTGACAAAGCTTCTGTTTATCCATAACTTTCAATTCTACTCTAGAGGTTTATCTTTCGAGTCAGAGAAGCCTTGATTGCAGACATAAACCTGACATCAGTCATCAGGTGAGCACACCAGGTGGAGCTGGTCAGGGCTTCCCACGCTGCCTGTGCTGGAGCTCCCATCCCCCAGGTCCCGGGCCACCATGCAGGGCAGGTTGAGCTCGGTGGATCCCCCGGGGCTGGAGTCACTCCTGCTCACGCACTCCTCCTCCAGGACCAGGCACAGCTCCTTCAGGTCCAGGTTCTCCTTCACCAGCCCGTCCTGCATGCGCTCCAGGTCGGCGAGCTTTTTCAAGTATCCGCCCAGGTCCTCCCGCATCACTTTGGCTGCGTGATGCCCGAACAGCTGCCATTCCCGGGCCAGCTTCTTCACTTTGAGCCGGTCGTCGTCTAGGAAGCAGCACAGGTCCCGCAGCTCCACGTTCTCCTCCTGCAGGCGCTGATTGATGACTTTGAGTTCCCTGATTTCGAGGAGGTGTCCCTGCAGCTGTTTATTCACCTCTTTTATCAGGCGTCCTCGCTGGATGAGAGCTGATATTTTATCTGATTCCTCTTTACGCAGCCGGCTCACCAGCTCCTCTTTGGAGCACGCGAGCAAATCTTCATCTGAAATCTTCGACAGTTCTCGATTTATGACCTCACCTTCGCTACCCATCTTCAGTTGAATGCAAACACCTAAGGGCTACCTGAGAATCAAATAAAAGCGCTTAGATGTAGATTGATCTTTCAGTGCAGAGCCTTCATCACATCCTCGGCTTCATCTACATCCAGTGTAGGGTACTCCAGATGTCATGTGTGCAATCACGACAGAACCGGAGGACAAATCATGGCAGAAACATGTGAAATCTCAATTTAGATTGTTGTCTTTCAAGACGTAGTGAAATAATTCATTCTTTGTGCTGAATCCACGGATTTTTTTTTTTCTTAACTAGGTCGTAAATGTAACTGCACCGCAAACCCCGTTAATGTCGATCTGTCATCTCCTCAGCAGCAGGCTGTGTTGTTCAAAGGCCTCAAACAACACAACTGTCCTTATTTTACCTCCTCTCGTTTTGAAGGTAACAGTCGCCTTGTGGGCTTCCCTGTGCTGTTTGTATAAAAGCCTCGTCGATCCAAGGAGGTTTGATCCGGGCAGCCTCGGATGCACACCCTGCAGATGTTGTGTTTTTTACGTCGCTGGCATCGCCTCATCAGGCTGTGCTTCCCTTTTCCTCGGCTGAATGAACTCCGTTCAGCGCTGGCTACAGGATGACGAGTCCGTGGGCTACAGTGCAGCCGCTTTGTTTAGTTTGTATGACGACAACTATGTACATAAAAAAAAAAATATTATTAATTCGCCCTCAATCCGCTCAAAATGAGTGCATCATCTCCGGTCATCCTCTTGGTCTGTACTGTTACCACAACAATGTCTGCCTCCCACACTTCCACGGCTCAGTCCGCTGAGCTGCTCGCACAGCCTTCCTTAGAGCCTTCAAAATAAAAGCAAAGACTTGTAGTTAGTTATCTAGAAACGGTCATGAATTCGGAACCAAGCGGACCAACTATAATGAAGAATAATAACAGTTATATATATATTTTTTTATAAATGAGATGTGTTTCATTATCTGTGGTGTTTCGATTGAATCTTGCTCTCAAACAACATTGGTTTTATCTTCAGTGATTTCTCCGGAAGTTTTGTAATGGCTGCTGTCTTGACACATCGGTTAGATAGTAATCACAAATATTTGTGGTTTCCTCTGTGGTTTCCAGTGGCTCTTCACATATAGGCCTACTGAAGGCCTGATGTGAGGATAAATATCTGCTCCATCCATGTGCTCCCTCCGTGCTTGTGCGCCCCAATTTGGGTTTAATAATGTTTTTGACCCTAATTTGCCATGAAACCAAAGTAACAGGGATACCTTGAATTTTCGGAAAAGGAAGTGGGCATGAAATACTTCCACTTCCTTTGGGATTTTATGTTTATTTGAATAAACACATCCTCAAAAAATAAAAAATAAACACAGGCTACTTACGAGTAAAACATCTATAGGCCCTATATACCATCCAATACAACGAAAGGTGTACAGTAGGCCTATAATGTAGTTGAAGCATGAGCGATTTCATGGCTGCACAGATTTCTTTTCAAAGATCTCTGGCGGAACGTGTGACTGCAGGCTTTTTTCCATGCGTTT